ATGATGTTAACTCCCTCCACCCCTAATCCCATGGGACAACATCCCTAGTTCTGGAGGCCTAGTTCTACAGGTGTTATGAGTGCTGGCTTATTCAGCATTAAGGAACCAACTCTAAACTTCAGCAAGCAGTTCTATACACTTACACAGAAGCCTGCAGCTGTACCCTAAGGTGGAGCTCATTGTGGGGGGAAAGGAATAAGGGGGAGGAAATGGTAAGCCCTAGTCTTAACTGAGACTAGGGAAATGGATGAGAAACACTCTTGTGAGGGTCTCCCACAAGATAGGGAAGCTCCAAGAGAAATTGATGGTTATTCAGCCAAGAGTTGGGTCAAACTGCAGTCAGACCTTCTCATGTGGCTATATGAAGACATTCAAAGTTGTCAGGGGCTTTGGCAGAGCTGTTCTATTAAAAAAAAGAAAATTTGAAAGACTTTAAATCATATGATCATAAGGCTAGTCTGGGATTCGCTTTCTTTTCTTTCTCTCTTTTTCTCTCTCTAATAGGTTGTTTTTTAGAGCAGTTTTAGGGCCACAGCAATTTTTTTTTTTTTGAGGCAAGAGTCCTAATATGATGTTAGGCTTTAGATTTTTCCATAGGTCCTAAATAACCAGTGCCAATGATGGAAATAAAATGTGTACATGACATAAAATGGGCTACAAGTATGTTCAAAATATGCCACAAAAAATTCTAGAATTATTTAAAGTATAGATATTTATATGAATTAAATTCCCACATAATTTTCTCTGAAGCAATATGAGCAGGATGGTTGAGAAGCATTTTTAAGATAGAAATATGTACATATGTGTATATATATCTATATCAGGTGAAAAAATATAAATAACACTCTACTTTGTTGTTCAACAATATTTATTGAGCATCTTAACATGTCACACAATGTGCTAGATGGCAGGTACATAAGAACGAAGAAACCATTTTTCCTTCCCTCCATTTCTTTTTTCAATAGGTACAATATTCATTGAACTCTGAATGTTAGGAATAAAGCAGTGAGCTGAACAAAATTCTTGTAGAGGAGACAGACAATAAACAAGAAAAGTAAAAAAAAAAATGTAGTATGTCAGATGATTACAAGTGCTATCAAAAAAAAAAAATAAAGCAGGGAAAGGAGGAAGGGGATGCTGGGATGGGGTGACAAAAGGCCTCACTGAGAGGTAACATTTGAGAAAAGACCTGGAGAAAGGGAAGCATTGAGCCAGGCAGACACCCAAGGAACAGTGTTCTGAGATAAAGGCCCAAAGACAGGAGGGTGCATGGCCTGTTAGAACAGCAGGGAGACCTAGTGGAGCAGGAGTCCTTTGAAGGAAGGTGAGAGGAAGAGGAGAGAAAAGGAAAGGAGAGGAGAGGTGGCTAGAGGATCGTAGACCACACTAAGGATGTTTCTTGTCCTGAAGGCTTCATGGAGGTGGTGCTATCTAGGCTGAGTCTTGAAAGAGGTGTTGGCCAGTTAAGAAGGTTGGGGAAGAGCATTCCAGAGAGTAGTGTGGCAGTTATAAACCTGGAGAAAAGGGAACTTAAAGTGGTGCAGTTACCTACAGGGGTAGAGTGTGCATGCCTGTGAGGAAAGAAAGCAGTGAGAGATGAGGTTGGAAAGGTCAACAGGACCTGCATTATGGTGGAGGACTACATATATTATTCAGACTATTCTAAGAAGGAGAGCTAAGTTAATATTTTAGATGTGAGCACAACCCTAGCTGCATAATTCCTATGGTTTGGGCCCCACCCCACAACTGTTAAATCAAAATCTCTGGTGGTGGGAATCAAGCATCAGATTTGGGTTTGTGACTTTCCTTCCAGGTGACTGACTCCACAGCCAGGGTTAATAAGTGTTCATCTTGAGAATTCTGCCCAAAGTGGTCTTAAGATTCAATGCAATCCACATCAAAATGCCAGTGGGTGGTATTCACAGAAATAGAAAAACCTATTCTAAAATTGATATGGGGTCTCAGGGGTCTCAAGTAGCTGCAACAGTTGTAAAGGAGGACTCACAGTTTCTGGTTTTAGAACTTATTACAAAGCTGTAGTAGCTAAAACAGTGTGATATTGGCATAAAGAAATATAGATCAAAGGAATAGAGAGGTCAGATATAAACCCTTGCATCTGTGGTTGATTAATTTACTACATGGGGGCCAAGACCATTCAATGAGAAAAGAATAGTTTTTTCAACAAATGATACAGAAAAAACTGAACATCTACATGCAAAAGAATTAAGTCACACTGTTACTTACACCTAATACATAAATAAACTTGAAATGAATCAAAGACCTAAACTTAAGAAGTAAAATTATAGAAGGAGCATGCCGAGGATCCTAGGCAGGAACTGAGGGCAGAATCCCCTGTCCAGAAGTAGCCAAGGAGCACACCAAAAACACTAGTTCTGTGTGGGTAGCACACCACAGCCATAGCTGCCACAAAAGCAGCTTGATGCCACAGCATTTGCCACAGCCACCATGCAGGCAGCCCACCACACACTCAACTAAATTGACA